GAAGAGTATTTTAAAACGTTTTGTATTTAGCTTTATGCATAACTGTGAAATGTTATTAATGATTGAATGAGGGTTGGTAATAGGATTTTGCAATGTATTGATACAGCTCTTTGAGTTTGAATTTTATGAAGTTAAAAAAGATAGATAATAGATTTTAGCAAACGAAAAATTATTTTCCAGTGTTTAAGATTGAATTTTACTTGCTGCTGTTTCCTCATTTATTAATTCATTACAGCCAATCATAAAAAGATGTCAAGCGAGTCAGAACCCAGTGAAGAAAACACTGGTGATGAAAAAGAAAAAGGTATTAAAAGGGCTACTATTTCAAAAATTGAAATTAAACCTATTAATTATTCTGGATCATCAAATGCCCATCAAGGGAATAATACTAAATCTAAAGAAATTGTTTCAAATGATTCTCTGGAACCATATAAATTTAAAAAATTTGTAGATTATGGCACATCAAACCCGTCTTATCAACCTGGTGTGAAAAAGTTTGACCATTTCAGGACATCCTATCCACCCGAGTCTCCAATAAAACAAAAAAGAATCATTGGTGATGATAGATTCAGTCCCGCAGATGTATTTAATTTTAATGATGCCACAACGCGAGATTATCGTTACTCATACCAACCAAAAATTAAGGATCAGCTAAAAACTTTGAAATCATCGAGTCCTGCAAAGAAAACTGATTTTGAAAGGATGCCTTCTACATCAACAAGCTTTCGAACTAGATTAGATATTGGGACAGGATTTAACATGAGAATAATGTCCAATGGAACAGACAATTTAAACCAACTTACTACCTTAAGAAGTGATGCTCCTTCACTGAAAACTCCTCGCATAGCAGATGCGCCATTTAATATTACTCAAAGAACAATACTAACAATTAAACCGAAATTAAAAAAATCTCCTCAAAAAGCTACAAAGACATCTCCTACAACACCACAGTTATCCTATGGTACTTATGGTTGGGCACGTATCCCACGCAATGAAGCGCAAATGTCTTCAAGATTTAAACAATCACCAACGAAAGAACATTCTAAAAAGAAAACTACTCCGACACCTATTAGAAGGCTGAGAAATATTCAAACTTACCGAGAATCACCGCCTCCGATAACAGTTGCAAGAGAAAGAAGACCGCATGGAATATTTTCCCCGAAAAGTGTATACAAAAGACAATTTTTAAGTAGAAGAAATCTTTTTGGTGACGGTAACGACAGTCCGGAATCTTCATGGGGATCTGGTACATGGCATGATATTCATGAGCATGGGTTTTCTGGTCAGATGTCACCAGTTGAAAGATCCGATCATTCCTTACCATGGGAGACCTCTGATCAGACAGAACAAACTATTTTCCATCCTCCATCTGTTCAATCGCCTCAATCACGACAAATGAAGAATTCTGCAAGGTCACGTCGAGTGAGAAAAGAAAGCCCTATGTCACCAATTTCAACAAGTTCTCCTTATTCTTCGTCAATGGAAACTTCTCCAGAAGAGTTAGACTGGAGCGGATTATTTAGTCCCGATTCTCCTGAGATTCACTCTCAAGGATCACTTGAACCAAGTGGATCAAGATATGTTATTCAATCCGAGGGAACAAAGCGGTATTTTCAGCCAAGTAAAGGATTCATTCCAAGTACTTTATGAAACCTTTCTGTATTAGCATTTTAAAAGAATCTTAAATCCGATATTTTCATATTGCTGCTATAAACTAAAGATTTTCTTTGATTATAACATATGGTTGTTTTTTATTTTATACTGAGCTACAAATAATACATTTTTTTAGATTGATAAAGTTTTTAAAAGTTGAACTTTTCTTTTAAATATTTTCAAATGTTTCTATTTTCATTTATAATGTAGAAAAAATCTGTGAAGCAACATTACCTCAAATTTCCACAAAAAATGAACGGGGTGATAACTCGTAATATGTAGTGAACTGTCCATTCTTATTATTCTCAACAAACAAATAATACTTAACAAAAATAATAGCTTCATGAAATAAAATTTTTTTATCCAATGAAGTTAATGAAAGTTTGATAAAAAAAAGTTTTAAAAAAATATTAAAAGTAGGATAATAACTAATAATACATTTAAATTCCTTTTTACAATGCAGAACACCTAAACTAAATAAAGACTTAATGCTATTTTTTGGAGATTAAAAGACAACTAAATTGTTTTTTCTTTTGCAAAAATTAAATATATAGAATCCCAAGAATAATTATTATTTTACATGAAGTGCTTTCTTACAATAATTATTCACTTTTTCTTTCCTTATTCTATTTTTGTATTCCATATGTATAAATTAACATTTTGAAATTGTTCTTCTTATAATAACAATCTTTTATATAAAGCATACTTAAGAATTGGCAGAGCTCAAATCAAGCTCCGAAATCTGTCTCCTCGAGTTTTGATCCTGAGAAAAGTAGCACGAGTTTGTCCCTCTATTATATTGGGTCTCAAGGAAAAAGGGAAACATTAATAATTACAATTGGTCCATTAAATAGTTCGAGGAAATAATATGTCTGTCAAGGTTGATTTAAGGGTAAAATCCAAAATGTTAATTTATACATACTGAACCCAAAAATAGAATAAGAAAGAGGAAGTGAATAATTAATCGGGAGAAAGCGTTTAATATTGAATAATGACTTAAGACGGAGAATTTAGATAAAGAAATAACATAAAAAGATTCCTTTTTATGCATCGCATAATGAAACATAATAAAACAAAAATATCTTAACTTGAAAAGTCGTAAAATTATTTGATTAGGAATTAGCAATATGCATTCATTACATTCTATTATAGGTTTTTACAATCAAAACCTCTGGGGGTACTGGATTGGAGATCGATCGTTCTCTGATTCAGGTCAAAATTACGATCTGTGGATGAATGAATGGATGTATGAATGGGTCCGCTCTATAAAAGGGTGCGACGTATGGTGCAGCAAAAGTCGAATTCTTGGCCATAGATGGCGCCACTGGAAAACAAGAACAATCGCACCCCCTCTGCCTAAACAGGCATACGTCAAGAACATAGATTTTTACAAAGAAGTTATTAATTCATAATATATTACTAACAAAAAGACTGTCCTCAAATGGTGTACACAAATTATGGGCATAAAATATTTTTCTATTTACTGCTACCTATTCACTGCTTTTTCTATTCACTGAACTCGCTACCTCCATTCTTTACGCAGTGTTAGACGGGCGATGCAGTTCGGCCGGGTTAAGAAGTTAAAGAGTTATTGTCTCCTTAAATAGTGCTGGCTTAAATCTCAGATCATCAAAGGCATCTAAACTTACGAGCTAAACGTCTGAACTAACGAGCTAAAAGTTCCTCACGTAAGATTGAAAAAAAAATCACTAAAGTAATATTTATCAACACACCAAAATCAGGCACAAAGTTGAATGGCATATACAGACGTAGTAATTATGAATAATAAGCACTTTTCGCAAGTAAATCCAAAGCAGCTAAAAATTTGAAATAAGCTAACGTGTGTTATCTAGAAAAAAATTAGCAAAAAAATTTTCTACTAAATAAAGGTTAACTGTGTTATTCACTATTATCTGGCACAATGCTGTTTCTCAAGGCAAACTCATGATATTAATAATTTACCATATTCAAGCTACTTTCTCTTATACGTATTTCTTCGAGGGGTCGCCAGAAAATTATTATAGAAATGCGCAGTATTTGTGTCAATAATATTATGGCGACTTTGTACGGCATCCCGTAACGATTAAGTACTACATTTTCTCCATTAATTTAGATTATCAGTATATAGCTTTTTTATTTTTAGTTAATACCTAGCATTAAAAATAATTAAGCATCATTGATATCAATATTAGTTTACTGATTTTGAATGTTCTCTTATACGAATTAGTTCCATTTTTCGATTAGTTTTCCTATAGCCTATTTTTTACTTCAAATTGTAACTATTACATTTTATTACTTTCTCTTCAATGAATTAGTACTATTTTTCCCTTAATTTTTCTCTTCAGTTAAAACCCTATTTTTTTTCATTTAAATTACCGTTGATTTTAATTTTTTTAGTTACATAAGAACCCATTTCAAAAGCATAACTATAAACAAAATTAACATGTGGTTTCAGATAACCTTAAAAATATTAATCGGGTGACGTAGTCTGCTTATGCTAGCCCGATCACGTTGATCTTTCAGATAACCTGGCATAACTAATAAAAATATTGCAGAATCCTCAATTAACAACTTTTTCGATTAGAGCTAAAAGCTAACAAACACCACTGGTGTTATCTTTAAAATATTTGAGAAAACTGAATCGTCTCTGGCCTATTTTGAAACAATGGCTTCCGTTAAACCAATGAGAAAATTTATTTTCTTTAATGTCTCCGAATTTAAAAATTTTATTAAAAATCGAAAATTAACCGTTTACCCACAATNAAGCAGAAAACGAAACTGGGCAGAAACAAGCAAGCGGGTATAACTATCAACTATAGTTCAAAATTTTCTAAGTCCATAAAAATGGAAAAAATACACTCTTACCTAAAACTTATAAAGAAGGGAAATAAATGATAAAAATTCAAAAACCGATAAGACCCTCTACTATAGTTGACTGACCCTCCTCTTAGAGTTGATAATTCCATCACCTGCCTCCCCCCTCCCCTTCCCCTTTTCAGCAGCAACCCAGTTTGCTGCTGCTTCTGATTTCGACTGTTGCTGAACTCCCACTATATTACTACTAATGTATTTTTGTACAACATGACACACAATGAATAAAAATTATAAGTCTTTTAAAAAATATTATAATTATAATATAATCATATTTGTAATATATCCACGTAATTTGATACTAAATTCATATTACATCAAGCACATAAACCTTTTTGTTATACTCTTTGGGCATATTTTCCTTCATTATCTAGTAGAACATAAAAATAGAAATTAGCACAAGCAGTTTTAATCAAAATAACGCTATGAACTAATGAACACAAAATACAGATAATTATAAAAGATTCTAAATTCAAATCATTTAATTTCATTGAAAAATTTTTAATTCAGGAATAGTAGCTAAATTTTAATACAATAATTTAATTGGTTTCAATCAATAGAAAATGTAAGTAATATGATTTCAAAATATTATAATTTTATTTAAGTTTTAAGTAAAATAGGGTGTTTCATTTTGGTCTTTGTTACTTGTTTACTTTATTTTTAGAACTGACTGAACCATTTTGTTTACTTTGTTTAGTTTACTTGAATAATGCATCATTGTTCAACCAAAAGAAGTGTATATTAGTATCTCAAATGTTTATGAACCAAGGTGTCAAAAAATTATTTCGTATTGCCTATTATTATTTTTGTTGTTAGTGCTAAATCCATAAGAAGATAATTTCTTGCACAAAAGTTCGAGACTTTAATTAGTTTTGATTCATATGTTTAATTTGACATGTATCGGACAATGTACTTTTTTTTTTATCAAAATAATATCTTTACATATTTTTTTTAAATTTCCAATGGCACATTTAAAGACAATTGAATGTCAAAAAGATAACAGTAAATCTATAAATGAAAGAAAGCAGTCCTGTAGGCAAGGTAGCCAGTGATTAGATGTCCTGAAACCCAGGAAGAGCAGGGCATCTAAACAGGTGAGATATCTTCATCTCTTCGTGGGGATCACAAAAGGTACAAAAAGGATTAGGAACCACGTTGATGCAACATAGATGTTTATTCAGGCCATCATGTCCAGATTCATGGCGTCAGGTTTCGTCCTAGGCAACTGAGGGACATAATGAATATGTTTAAGCTATGGTTTATTAGAATAGCAATTTTTGAGTTCTTCGTGGAAGGAGTCCATGGAGATGTTCTTTATTAAACATTTGTAATTATTAAAAGGAAGTCTGGAATTAGATGGAAAATGGAAAAATGAGAAAAAAGGCCCTTTCTTTTGCCTGGAAAGTGACTGCCTCAATTCTCTGAATACCATAGAACTACTGTCTTCTTATTACTGACAAACCAGTTGAGGAGATTTAAACAGTTATCCTTAAATAAGGATTAGCAAAAATAAAACGCTTGAATTATGTTAAACAATTCAATTGCACATTTTAAAGTGTTAATCAGTCATGACAAATACAATTCGTCATTCATCAAAATCTCGTCATTACTATTTGAGAACAGATATTTACTTATTTTCCCCATATGAAAACACGCAAATAACATCTGAACGATAGGTAGTTATTGGGAGCGATTCTTATCAATAAATATTGTCAGATTTACATTGTTTTTCAATACATATCTTTTTTTAACATACACTTTATTATTTGTTTCAGTCTGTAAGGAAAAAAATTAGGAATCAATCATTAGTTATACCATGATATCATTGAAATTTTAATCAATTGAGACATTACTTCTATTATTTAATTCCATATTATAAAAATTAATTTGTCCATAATATAATTATTCATCATTAAACGTTATTGTTTAGTTCAACCTTCAATGAAACAAAGATTAGAGTTAATTTTGTTTTAGTCTCATAGTTTCTTTATGAAAAGAGGAGTACTTTTTAATCGCCAGGAGCTGTTGGGAAGAGTTTTATTGACTAATGTCACAAGAAAAACTTTGCAATACATATAATTAATCTACTCTTATATTCTAAATACCCTGTGTGGTATTTTGGTTTTTAAATACGACATGATATTTATTTTGCTGAATGCTACCAGGAATAATTAAAGTACCTAATTTTAACAAAATTACTCTGATAATATGACATCATGTTGATATAGTCATTTGATTATCCATCTTATTTCTTTAAACTGTATGGAATATATTGCAACTTTTAATTTATCAACTAAGTATCAACTAAACAGAAGTTATGGGTACTTTTTGCTTACGTGCAACAATCCGAAAAGTACGAAATCACATAGTGACCAAAATTAAAAATTATATTGAGTCTTCAACAATTCTTATAAGTTTTTCCCGTGTATTATCGTTTTTATGATACAAGTCTAAGAGGCCACACACTGTAAACTAGTACAACCTTTAATAATTTTATGGTTATTATTACTGGTATTTGGGTGATTCTCACGAAACATGACAATTCACTGTCCCTTGCTCCAAGATATATATAAATAGCATTAATAAATAGCATTGCTGTTAGCATTTTAAAATGACTCTGCACTAGCATTGATTGTTTTGCATACTTAAAAACTTTAATTGAATATCAAAATGTCATTTTCCTGACATGTCCCAAACAATATTTCCAATAATAACTAGCTTCAAAACTTCCCATACATTTTTCAAAATCTAATTTTTTTTATCTTATCCTATGTAAGCATTTCTAGACTGTACGCAGAGGGTATTGTTTACTAAAACTTCGTTTAAAATAATTTTTTCTGTCAATAATTTGTTTGTCCCATGAAAATCTGTCATTTTCCTGGTTACTTTTATTTCGTGATTTATAACCAAAATAGATAGCGCCAGAAATCAATATCTTATGTTAATAGATTGATTAGATACCCTCNATGCTGAGCCACCTCAGCTAGATTTGGCATGTGCCATTTTTAGCGGCAATCATTGGTCGATATCCTAGCGTTGCCATTCGGGGAATTGTAATGAGGCTTTTTTTTGTCGCCGTGTAAGAGAAATATATATATATAGATTTGTTGCCCTTCCTGAGGACTTTACGTTATTAGTTTAAGTAACACATGATTTTAGAAGCTCATCAATCCGAATAAAAATGAACTAGATTCAGTATTATTGCATCATTTGACATAATGCTATTGTTCGACATGAACTCTTGATTGAAAAAAAAAAGAAGAAGAAAACATAATCAACAGTTCTCTTGGGAAATAACTCCTTTCGGTTGGTCGTAGAAACCTAGTATCTGCAATATACTAGGCTCTTACTGTCCACCGAAACGGATATTAGCATATTTAGCACCTAATATAAAACACAAATTAAAGTAAATAACAGTAACCTATTACCAAAATTTATTAAGCACCATTATTGTCAATGAAAATATGGTGATTTCTTATATAAAGACAGATACGTACCTTTTGTCCATTGCTTCAGCTTCTTACCTTAAAATTTATTATTTTAATTTTAGTTTGTATTTAATACCAAAATAAATTAATTGTAATTTTTGAAATAATTTTATTATAACACTATTACTTTCATAATAAGTTTTGGTAAACTGAAATTTGCTTATTTCAAAATCCGTAAAAGATCGCCTAATTAATACTGACGCCAGTGATGACCTGTTAAATGTTTCCCTTGATACAGCTGGTGTCGACGTAAAGATACTGGTGTGATGAGGACCTATTATACCAATATATATATTTTTTAATTTCCAATGAGCTGCACAATCGGTCTTGCGGATAAGCAGACCTAGTGCGTTCTCCAGAGGTGGTATCCACTCTTTCAGGACCACCATAATGGGTGAGATACCGTTGGTTATGTTACTTTGGATGTCTAGCTTCTGCCACACTAGATGGCAGCACCGAGACTCTATTTGGATGCTAAAGTGCACTAGGAATTTAATTTTGCCGGAAATGCCAGGAGCCAATAAGGCACTCCAGGGATCTTTTACATGCCGCATAATCATACCACATGGCCGTTGAGGATTTTCTTCATCCCGAAAATCCGGTGTCTGGGCTGGGGATCGAACCCGCAGACTTGGACTCAGAAGGCCGACGATAAACCAACTGCGCCACCCAGCCACTTATACCAATATAGGTGCTTAAAATAGGTACTGCTGCATAATAGGTGTTTTGACATCTCCATACTACACATTCATGACACTAAATAAGCAAACTTTATTTTCTGTTATTTGTTGTATGAGAAAAAATAACCATTCTGAATAACCCACATTTGCCCTACACAGAAAGGAAAACCTTGAAAACTTCTCATGGTTAGCTTGATGATAAGGGGATTCTAACCCATGATCCGTCTACCACTGAGAGTATTTTTCGTTCGTCAGCACTGTGCTTGATGCGATACAGGAGCAGAATTAGAATGGACCAATCATTGCCGGGATTCAAACTTGGGTTACTTTATTGGAAGGTATAATCCGCTGAGCCAAAAAGGCTCTATAGCATAATTATTTTTTTATATTTTTTATAACCGTCGTCGAACAGCCGACCCAATTTTGAGTTTACGACTACTAATGTTCAACTTCGCAACCTTGTAATTTGAACCTAATACGTCAACACTATGGTCGGTGTGAGCTGGGTGCGGAATTTATTAATTAATTGAAAATATTTATTAATTTAAAGTATACAAGCTTATTTATTTTAAAAATTTTATGCCATCTTATCAGTTTTATGCCATTTTATTGATTTAAACTAGTAATATTAATTCAAATATTCTTGACTTTAAAACTTTTTTTGCTATTGTTCTGAAATTCAAATTTTAGAATGAAAGAAAATTTTTTAGTCCCCGATCCCCTAAGAATCATTCAAAAATTTCAATTAGATTTCTTGGTTGAGACTTATTATAAATGGAATATATTTTCATAAATTTAGCATTATAGCCATTAATATTTTAAACTGTAGATAATTTTTTTACTTTCTATATTTAAAAAATATCATCAATGTTTTCGAGGTTGCAGCATCATTTAATCAAGTAGGTGTTCTTTCACATTTTTAATAACTAATTGTTTTTATGCATTATGTCAAGTAGTCTCAATAATTAACTTATGTTTGACTTGTGAGAGTTACTTGTCCAAATTAATATTTTTAAAGTTCTCTGTAACCACGTAATAATTTTGCTTGTAGTTAATACCTTTTAAACGCGTTTCGATAAAACTGAATTATAAAAAACAAACAGTAATTCAAGTAAAAAAACAGTTATTTTTTACTTAGCAAAAGTAATTAAGACAGTGTATTTAGTTAGCCGTAAAGAAATCGCTATGCTATTATTGAACCCAATAATGCTTCATTAATTTTAGTATTAAGAACCAAATGAAAAAATTGCTTTCGATAGTGATTAACTTTTACAACCATAAGTTTTCAGAGAGAAACAGCATCATGCCAAATGATGCTGAATACTGTTAATCTTTAAATTGATAGGATGAATTTCATTTCTAAGAGCGTGTTTTACTTATTTTTATTATGTAAAGCGTTTAAGGAAAAGCAACAAACAATAATGCATTTTTACAAGAAATTAGAATCATTTACATGCATAAACAGTGCCGATTAGCATACTTTCCCAGTGTTGATAAATAATTATTTATTGATTATTGCTGATTTACTGTTCTATGAGGGAACACTCCGGTCATTTTATTAAAAATGCCTCGTCTGCACCTATTTACCATAATTCATATATTTGGAGTTTATATAATGAGCCAGATCTTATACTAACAATTCTTTTTTTTCAGCCTAAATTCTTAAATCGAAGCTACATTTCAGCTTTAATATGTTTTCTCATCCTCAATATGGAACACGGGGTAGAATACAAGATAGAGAAACTGAATTGGACATGGCTGGTTTTCTTGAAGATATCGGCGTCGGAGAATTACCAAGTTTCGATTCTGATCCTGGTGATATGTTGGAATCAACTGCTCTTGGTAGTCATGTACGACAATCACCAAGAAGATCACCGGATTCTAAAATACCTAGATCTCCAATAAGAGCCGGATTTCTTGATGAAAGTTTCCATGAATTAATGGATGATATGGGTATCGATGAACTTCCAAGTTTTGAATCAGAAACTGGTACTAGGCAACCAACAGCATCCGCACGCGTTCCACGTCCTAAAGCAGGACCAACTATGAGAAGAACAGAACTGGATATGGACGATTTTCTAGATGAAATCGGTGTTGGTGATCTTCCAAGTTTCGACTCTGATACTAGCGGTAGAAGATTAGATTCAAGAGCTCCCGGTATGGGTGCTCAACGAACAAGGGCTCCCGTTTTTCAAACTCCGACAACTTCGCGAAGAATTCCCATGGATGCATTTTTAGAATCTCCGACGGGAGCCGAAATTGAATATGCTGCCATGCAACCAAGACGTTGGGAAGATTGGCCAGAAAAACTTAAAGAAACCGAAGAATTTCTTAGCGAAACAGCGGAAATGCTTGAAAGGTATCAAACAGAGTATGATCAGTGGCTAGCACAGCGATCACCTCAAGTCTCTCCGAGAACTACTCCACAAAGACATCAGATTCCTCATGATCAACAGGATATTGAAACATTACTCAGAGAAACGAAAGAGATGCTTGAACGTTATGATGACGAACGTGGTGTGCCCCGAACGCAAATCTCTCCAAGGACTCAAATGCTAGCAAAGATGTACCCATCTCTAGATCCTCGGAAAAGCCCTTCAGCTAGACCGGAAATACTTCCCTATCCAGAACTTCCAGTGAGACCTGCTTCCCCAAGAAGACCTCCCTCTCCAACACCTCCAATGAGACCTGCTTCCCCAAGAAGACCTCCCTCTCGAACAGCCCCAGTGAGACCTGCTTCTCCAGGAAGAACTCACACTCGAACACCTTCAACGAAATCTCCAAGAATACCACAAGTTTCTTCTCCGAAAAAACGAGTGGTTGGTCCTTCCCCTAGGACGCCAATAACTTCAACTCCTTATTCACGACCACCAAGACAACCTGTAAGAACAGTACATCAGCCATATGAACCGGAGCCCGGAGATCTGATTGATCTCTATCCCAGAGCTTATGCTGATTATTATGACTTTGTAAGTGGGCAGACAAGACAATCCGATGATGACTTGATCTTTTTTCCCGAACATGATTGGACCGCATCAGAAATGGTATTTTCTTTTTACACTAAATGATAAAAATAAGCTCAATGAATAAGAATTAAACAGCAAGTCAGTTATAAATTGTAACAGGGAGGAGATAGGTAAAATACGAATATTTTAAAGAGGAAATTCAGTTATCTGATTATCTTTGGCAATAATATTCATGATTTTAGTAGTAAAAGCTAATTATTTCCACAAGGTCTGCAAAAGGTACAATTTAGGAAACCAATTGCATATCTCGTACTACCACCAGTTGTACTGATCTGGAAAATTTGAGCAAAAATGAATAAGCAAATAACTAAACAGACCCATATCAAATGTTTACTAAGTGTGAAATACAGTACTATATTGTCTGAATTGTAACGAACTCAGTAAATGGAATTATAATTCAAGACATGGTCGTAAAGCATAACAGTTTTTTGCTAGAAAGCCCCCGAAGCATGACTTTTACTTGAAAATCAAAACAGAATTAATTATACGACAATCATTAATTTTCCAATTAATCAATATATTTAATATTTGATAGGTGAAAAGCTGTGTTATGTTTTAAGTGCAACATACAAAACTTTTTATTTTTGACTCCAGACCGACGCATATATCTTGAAGCCAATTTACACATAACACAATATTTTCAACTGATACAGTCTACCATACAAACCAAACTTTTTGTCAGGGTTAACTTCAATTATCACATCAGCCAGTAACAAAGTGGGTACTTGGTTTAATATACATCTGACCAGTTTCAATTACTTGTATTAAGGAGCTCTTTTATTTAATTTTAGCTTATTGTTTTCTATTTTTTGAACTGAATTTGTGGATTTTGGATTTAATTTCAGTTTTTTCTAACTTTATATTCATCTGCAGCTCTTTAACCTTTTCTGAGCTGAGTTTAAGATGATTTGATAGTTCCAGTTGATTTTCATAAGGGCTACTTGCTGAAACTTTAACTCTTTGTGATTTTGAAACAATTTCCTTCCACTTAGGATTTGAAATCTTGGAAATTGTTTCAAATGAAACCTGAAGTTTAAAAGAAAGCATTGAAGCATATTGTTTGCTTAATTGCTTAGTGAGAATCTCTTGGATCTAATTGATTCGTTCCCATAATTAGATTTTTTGCAGGCGAAAAGTCAGTTTCATAAAAAACTAATGGCTTTGTGGGCAACATGCCAGATAACTTAAAACTTTGAACAAAATATTCAACTGTCGTTGCCTTATTGTAAGCCTTGGTCACCATATTAGAAACTTAGTATTGTGTCAGGCCACAATATCAGGCCATGGTATCAGGCCAAGATAACTGCGTAACTATTTTTCATCTGCTTCAATGAAGTACAGTTTAAATGGCTTGAATGTGTTATACAGTGGTTAAAAAAGATGCATTGCGTGTCCTGGTTACTGTAACATACACAAACAGGTAGACAGACTCACATTCCATTAAATGAGTAATGAAAAGTGCTGTATGATTTCATATTTTACAGACATGTGCAACTGGCATGAGTTTATTTTTCCAGCTAGTTAAATTATGTGTAAAAAACTAACTAATTCTAGAAGCTATTGAACTTATATGTTAGATATTGAGCCTGAAATGTAAAGCCAAAATCATATCTAAACGGTTTAAAAGTCAACAAAAGTTACAATTTTGGCAACTATATCTCTTTTTAAACAAAGCCTTATTCCTAGCCTCAAAGAAAAGTTAGCTAATAAGGAAAACAATAGAACATAATAAAATAAATTGTTAAACAATTATTTGATGCATTTCATAATGTGCTGTAGATGAAAAATTACAAAAGTACCTATTACCTATTATCTTAAAAGTACCTATTACAAAAGTATCTATTATCTTATCAGGTATTTAACCCTGCTTTAGGCATCATGCTTATTTCCTTTCGTGTAAAACAATTAGGGTTATATTTATAGAGGTTATATTTATAATGGATCTAAATTTAACGCAAACTTAGGAGAGCACACACCTATTGAAGCAGACTTTTTTAAAGTAAAATAAATATGAATTAAGAGAATAAAAAAGAATATGCTAACTTTCTTCAAGTTCTGATTTATACAAAAAGTTCAATAAGATAACGGTTTTATTAAATAAAATAGATTTTTTTTCCATCACTTCTTCGATACCACTTATTCATCCTCATCCATCAACATGACAATTTGCACCAAAAATTTGAGTATGCTTAGGCGGTATTTTACAGTATTTCTGGCTAAATATTTAGATGCACAGCCGTGTAAATATTGTTTAATATTTTGATAAATTCTTTTTTATATACGGATGCGTGATAATATAATTTTCAAGCCTATAATTTTTCACCTATAATGAGTTTACCATTAAAAAAATAAAAACATATATGTGTAGTTGAAATATTCAAACTCAGTTTCCAAACTCAATTCTTCAGATTCAAATGTGAGATTTAGCTCAAATATAACATATTATTCTTCTGAACGAATTGCAAAATTAAACGGTGTACAGAAAATGCAAATCTCTCAAGAATGATCTTATTATTATTGTTGAATATATTAATTTAAAGGCGAATAAGATAATCGAATAAAGACGAATTAAGGGAACTAAGTAGTTGAATAAAGACGAATAAAGGGGAACAAAGTAGTAGAATAAAGGCTACCAAACTAGTAAGTATAAAATATAGAAAAAAGAAATCGAATCACTAGAACAACATTCTTTTATATCTTCCTTTCGAAATCTTTCAGCTTTAAATTTTGCCACTTACAAGTATGCATTTCATTTAAAAATATTATATTATTTTATCATATAATTTGTTCTTTTGAAATTATATTTGCTTTAACAGTGTGATAAATAATATTCGTCTTCTTGCAGGAAACCGAAAAGGCTGTTAAATTACAGGAATATGAGGAAATGAGAAGAATACTTCAGCATGTTCTCCGAATCATTCACCCAGAAGTACATTACAGCAATATAGAGCCACCTCTTGTTCTTCTGAAAGCTTTGGTTAGAAGAATTCAAGAAATGATCGATAGTGGCAATTTGGTGAGTTTTACACTGGGATAAGTTGTTTTTTAAAGTTTACCAACGATGCTGTGCTAGAAGTTCGTTTGTAAAATGTTTTAAAAAACAGTTACGAAATAGTTTAAACTCAAAAGTTTAAAAATGCTGTGTTGTATCTACCAACAGAAAAACATTTAAGAAGTTTCCACACTAATGCTAGCATGCAAAAAAGCAACTCTATTTTTTTTCCCAGTAAGGCCAAATCCTAACAATTCCTGAGCTAAAGTTCCATTCATTTAATAAACTTAATTATTAATTACATCATGAGTAGATTGTTTTTTTTTTTTTAAATTAACTTATGAAACTCTTATTTTTTTTAAATTGATAAAATGCTTGGATACTTTCATCTTTTTAAGGATGCCAAGCATTAATGAAGGAAACTAACACTTTTCCTAGAATCTAAAGTAAATTACGATTCGATTTAAGCATTTTAACTCCCTCGATTATGTTGTTCTGAAACTTAGCTTTATGTTGGAAATAATACATATTTATATGCTTGTTATGCACCATTAATCTTTTTAAACTAACAGGAGAAAAAATATAGAGAAATGTTATTGTTTGCAATTACTGTCTACTTATATTTAAAAATAGATTTTTCTACTATTTGTTTATTGTAAAAAAAATAAAAGTTCATGAAACAGTAAGTTTTTATCTGGTTGCAAGTTTATACGTTAACGAAATCCTCCTTCAATTTATTTTTAAATGGTCTATCATTTTTGGGACGTTAACTGAGTGGACGGTTTTGAAACTAATGGTTCTGAAATAAATGATTTTGAAACCATTTGCAACTAGCATGGTGCTAAAACAGTAAAAAATTAATTTAGGTAACTGGGCATTGAAGATAATTTTTTCCTTAGATAACGGACATTTGAGAGTACATGATACAAATTTGGGAATGCAGGACACTCAAAACTCTTCATGTGTTGATGGGAAGGGAGGAAATATTTCCGTGTCGATTCGAGCCCCCATTTTGCCAATCCTAATACTGACCCAGCTGCAAGGAACTTAGTGGTTTGATTAGGTGGACTTAGTTGGTGCGATGAATGATTTTTCACCCAGTCAATAGTTTGAATACCATCTTATTTATGGTTTTTGACAGTTATGTTTGAATATATGAAAAAAAATGGCAATTGAATACATTTTTTTTAACCACTTTCTTCGTTAAATATTCTAACAGTGTATTCCTTTTTAGCTCCAAGATCTGACAACTAAAAAACAAGCGAAAACTGCCCAGATGAACAACTTGAGAAAACAAATTCAACTTATGGAGTCAAATCTGCAGGAAGCATCTCGTTATTTACGCGACATCACAGACCTTTGGAACCAAAAGAAGGGAGAATATCGCAACCGTGTTCATCAACTTGAACAACAGCAAGGTCGTTGATGTACAACCCTCCAAAGAGCAGATCCTTAAAAACAATCTCTCAAGATTAGAACTCACTCAGAAAGAAAGAAAAAGAAGAAAGAAAACATAAGATAATCAAGACAATCTATCTAAAGGAAAAAAACTCGATTTCTTTTTTTCGGTACTTACTCAATTTTGATAAAGTAATCAGTCTCTAATTTAAACAAAAAATTGTTGGCTTTTATTTTCCTATTAGTTGCCCCCTCCAATAAATTCCCGTTAATTTGAAAAATCAATTAAAGCTAAGTAAATGTATATGGTTTAATGTGTTCTGCTTAAGAAACTAAGTTTCTCACAATAATACTCGTACTTCAAAATTAGTAAAAAAATTTAGCAGAGCTTGTTCACAGACAACTTTCCGTCGTTTCTGTAAATGGAGACGACGACGATCTGTAGTTGGTAAGGTACCAGACCTCTTAATCTGTGCTATGCNATAATAATGTATTTTTGCAATTACTTTTTTCACAGGGGGGTGGTCCGTGACTTCTTAAAATTTTTTAAAAGGGGTCCATTACATCAAAAAGGTTAAGGAACACTGCTCTAGGGCGACTGGTACTGTTGGCGTAGATAAATGAAGGAGGTTAAGGCAGTTGGTAACTGAATAGCTTACTGCAAAAGCAGTTCAAATCATGGTTAAGTGAAATATAACAATTGATAGAATATATAAACTTAATAGGCATGAATAATTGAATGATTTAGTAATGATATATTAAAACTTAATAATACAGATACATTTGAATGAAATTATCGGGGGATCTGTAAATGGCCGTCACTTTGCACTGTTTTATAGTTTTTCCCCAGTTGACAGCGCCATCAGTTGACTAATTTTTTTAAAGTATGAAGCCTAGTTGGATGACAAACTGGGTTTTCTAAGCAGAAAAACAGCAAACCATTTATTTCTACCTCTTTCCGTTTTTCTTTTATCGAATTTTCAAATCGTTGGTCATATTTCGGTCATCCAGTGCACCATTGTTTTAATCAAGTACTGATTTCAAATTTTAAAAATTTATTTTGAGTTACTATGATTATAATCTAAAATAATAAATTTCAAGCTTTTTAAAGTTCTTCGCTTACCTCCAGATCTGTAAACCATCAAATTTCTAGGGACCCTTTCAAATTTTACAAATAATTCTCCCCCCCCCCAAGAATTGGCCACTAGAATTATCAGCTGACGAAAATTGAGGTTTTATTCTTCTAATTAAGATTAATAACTTCTGAAAATACCTAAGTTCTCTCAAGTTATAAATCATTCAAAAAATGATTAGTTTCATTGGTCATAAACAGAATGTTTATTCGGTTCAAGATTTTGGTATTGCGGAACAATTTTAAGTCTACAGTTCTTCGATTTCTAAATCAGACCCAGGGTTACCTTTTTATCTATAATTTAATAAAAATATGTATAAAGATTTTCTTTATACTTATAAAAGCAACCACCTTGACTTAGTATTTTTGGTTAAGTTTTCATTCGGTAAGTGGAAAGTATTTCGTTTGGTGATATTTTTTTCCAATGCCCACCCGATTGATACTCGTCATTCAGGTATTAGTTGGGTAGATTTGTTGATCACTCTTTCAGGGGAACCAAATTAGGTGGTCCAACATTGCTCCCACATCCTATAGTTGATGTTAGCGTCGTTCGTAGAGATAAGTTGCCAAATCTTGTAGCTCTCCATTATTAAATAGCTTTTTCTTCGAAATGGATGATAAGTCAGCCTCTCTAATTCATGGGCTTTAGGATAATCCTCAAAGAAAAGCGTGTTTGGGTGCATCGATTTACATTGTTTTTTTTTTCGATTACAGCTTTTTTTAATACTTAATACTTGAACAAATTCATTACAAAATATTAAATTTATTATTACTGTTATTTAAAGTAAAAACTATCATTCATTACTAGATAGAAATAGTTTATACAAATTTTTTTTTTTTATAAAATAAAAATACAAGCAAATTGGAGAAGAATCAGTAAATTAATATTTGCACTAGATTTAATCTCATCTAAAATTGATCCTGGTTTTGGGCAGTTTATCAATTTCAGTCTTTTTGGAAGAATTTTTAAAGGATTTGGAATAGCATCAGGTCTTAATTCTTTGTTAACATCTTTTCTGTTTACTTTAAGGTGAGATTCTTCAAAATAAATCTTAAAAAAAAATTGAAATACTTTTTTTTTATATTTTCATGCTTAAATTAAATCACATTAAAAGATCTTAAGATTAAACATACTCCCATTACGTTTTCTACAACAACAAAAAACGAATTATTTCAGCAATTTAACACAAGATTTTAAAGAAAAAGAAAATATCATTTATAGATCCAAAAAGGCATGAAAATTAGCATATTAAATAGATTTCTTTTTATGAGTACAAAAAAAAAATCGTTTGAACTTTAAGCGATAGGTTACCTTAAGTAACTAAAACAAACTAACTATCTGACATATTAGTGAGTCAAAATGAAGTACAATTAGAATCAATATTTATTTTAATTTTTATATTAAATATTTATTTTAACCGAAAAAAAATACTTAAAAGCGAATACAAAGCTTGGCAATTCTAAGGTAAGTTTGGTGAGTACTTATTCGGCCAATCTCTTGCCTTTATTTATTTGGTTTGGTAAAATCCTAGAACAGCCCATCCCATAGCGAACATTTGAAATCTAGCCAAGTTGGCTATTATTAATTGTTTTTTACAAAAAGAAAATTAAATTATAACAAATTTATTAAAATATTGTCAATAAAATAAATAAAAAATAACTTACCTTTACTCTAATGGCTCATCTTTGGACACTCCGACAAACTTCATGCGCAACCACGTTCAATATAAACTTTCGACATCCCAACCGTCCACCCAATCCTTTTGCTCAATCAAACTCATTTGTTATCCACATTTCGCGCATTTTTACGTCTTCGAAATTAAATTTTGATTCATACAAATTCATCCATCAAATTCTTATATTTTGATGTATAGTAAGAAAAGAACAATTCGAGTAACCCAGAAAAGTTATTCGCTGATTTATTTTTAAAAGGAAAAGACAAAAACAAGCATTCAGAAACAAATTCTAACAAGTTATGGTCGTTTATATACTACAAATGAAGTAAATAAATTCAATAAATTATAAATAAATGAGTATTTACCTCACATAAGTTTGCTCCACTTCCAGGCTGTCATCCGCTGCAATTTATAACCCATTTCTTCTTTCTTTCGAGATATAATGGAAATCTTAACATTAGATTTCCTTTTTTAAAAAACTTTTTTCCCTATTCATCGCTGCACAATTACCCATATCAATAATTTTAATTATATCAATGGGCTTCAAACTGTCACGCTAGTGTTATCACTACCTAACTAGCGAACTTGTTTGCTCCATAATGGCGAACAGTTCAGTTCTCCTAATAGAGGATCTTTATTACTAAAAGATTCTCATTGCCCAATATGCCGCTGCGTCCTACAGCAACAATAAAAAGGTACGGTAATATCTCTGTGATTTACAGCTCTAAAATTCATTTTTACAGTAAAAATTATGGAATAAAGATAGAATAGTGCCAATTTCTTAAACCAAGTCAAAATTTCTTGATAAAATTTTCTAATCATTTATCATAAGTTCGTAAGATATGTTTCAGTGATAATTTTATTTACTCCAGTTTATTTCCTTCTGTCATATGACGAATTCTAGCAATAAACAGAACAAAGAAAAAATCTACAATGATTATGCATCGAGCAAGATTTATGGAGTAATTATAAGCAATAACGCTTTTCCAGATTCAGTTTTACTTCCGTCTGCTTAAAAAGATTATTGCTGCATGACTACCATATAAATATAATGTAAAATCCTAATATATCTTACACTCTTGTCAAGAGTTTCAAAAATATCGCTAACGCCAAAATGGCGCGTTTGCACTTGTCACACTTTTGCCAACGCCCAAATGATATTCTTACGATCGTCACCAAGAATTAAAGTAGGCAAAAATCTATATACTCGCGACTTGAAAATGATAAATTCATAATATTACATTAAAGTATAGACGTAGTGTGAAGGGGGCCCACTTTTTCTTTTTGAAAAGCCCATTTGTTTATTTAAAATTTTGTGTTTATATGCTCAGTTATTTTTTTATATATGTATATATTTATACATAAATGAATGTATGAAACTTAAAATAGACTAATAGTTTTTCAAAAACAAAAAGTTTAACTCCCTCACTCTACGCCTTGGCCAAGAACAAAAAGCAAGCAACCACAAAATCACACCATGAATTCAAAAATGCTAATGAAATATAGCTAAAATCTATAACCCGCCGAATTTTGCTAAGTCTACAAATACAGATTGCAAACTTTATCGTCCTCTCAAACATCACCATATCTACCGTTTAACGTATACTAATAAGCCAAATATGTATCGTATTCAACATTTAAATAAATTCAAAAACAAAAGAAAAAAGGTGAAAATATAAAAAAGATTAAAATAAATTGTAATTTATTAAATAAAATGTACTTTTATCTTCATTAACACACAACATCCTCAAAGAAGTAACATCTAATCTTTTATAGAACAAATAGCCAAATGGTTACAGGGAACTTCATTAACACGAAAAAAAGTCAACTTACTTATCAATCTATCTAGTATATTTGAGCTTTTCACCGCAGCGTGGCGCTGAAACTATTTGAGAGAGTGAGAGAAAGAGTTGCTATTTTACCACGTTTTGAAAAGAAAAAACGTTCGCCTTTTTATATTCTCAAGCATTAACCTGGAAACTATATATTTTTTGTGACTATAACTAAACATCTCCTTCAAATCTTTAACAAAAACTCAACAACAGCAGAGCATATTTTTTTAAAATCATTCATGTTTAATATTCATAAATTGGTTTGTCTTTCCGGTAAGCATCTTCTTAAAGTGCATTCAAAAAAGGTGTTTAAAATGTAAAAGATGTGCCCGATTGAATAACATTTTTCTTATCAAGTAGAAAAAAAATGGAGTCTGAAGAATTTTACTTCAGTAGTCTTTGGTTCTAATTGGGTATAATATGAAAAAAACACAACTACTTCGATTTAGTAGGAACAACATATGACGCAATGCTAAACGAATGGAATTTAGTTGTTGTTTATTTAGTTATTGTTATTAGTAGTTGTTGTTATTTGTTTTAGTTGTTGTTGTTTATTTAGTTGTATTTAGTTTCAATAACTTTTCTTTATAATGCAATAAAATCTGGCGAGCAGCTATTTAAA